ATGGAAAAAGAACAGTGATGCCAAAGCACAGAAGAGAGCAAATGAACCAAGGCTGATAATGGTCAGTCAGGAAGGCTTTCTGGAGCAGTCTTCTTGCCACTACGAGATGGGATGCTTCTGAGGACAAGCTTGTAACTTCTTCATCTTACTAATGCCACAGCGCCTACTACTCTATCTGACTTAACAGCCCTTCACAAATATCCTTGACACTTTTAATTAACATTTCTTAACAAAACTCTATAGCCAAACAGTTTTTAGTTCTTGTTAAACACCTACAAAATTATACTCATTACTATTTTTTTGCAAATTTTCTTTATAATTGAGCTAAATGTACAAAATCATATAATAACCCTCCCTCTGGGAAAAAAACAACAACATTCCTATGCTTTTCTAACCAAAAGGAAATTTTCCTTTCACCACCTCTTTTGTTTTGCTTAAGAGAACTTGGATCTTTGAATGTTTTGTATAAGTGAAAACAAAAACAGAATCCTGTTTGTATAAACTTGCAATAAAAATGATAAAAATAAACTAATTAATTTAAAAAATTTCTTTGATCGGATGGCTAGCCTGAACCACTTTACTCATAGTATAGGGCAAGAATCAAAAAGTTTTAGGGACATGTTGTTACAGGGTCTAAAATTTGGTCATTGTCAGCTGCCTCTTTGCCTCCAACTTTCTTTCCTCCTCCCCCCTGCATTGGCTTCAGCACTGGCCTGGACAAGCAGTGTGACAACACTGCCTTTTTCTCAGAATACTAGAACTGTGCCACCCACAGTCCAATGGCTGGAGGCCAGGCGACTGCCAGCAGCACAGATGGGAGTCAGGCTGCGGCACGCAACAGTTCCTGCTAGGCGCTCTTTCCTGACGGCTCACTTGGAATTGCCACTGTCAACAATGATGGACAAAAAGTATGGGCTATAAAAGAAATATGTGACATGGGAAGTCAAAAAACTTGACTTCCTGTTTTATTACTTCCTAAATGTATGACAACTAGCATTTCTCCTAATCTGCTCGGTTTACCTAACAGTTATTATAAGAATCAAAATGAGACAATGAAAATTAAGTTTAATTTCTGTAAGTGATGGGGAAAAGAGCTATTCTCATATGTATTTGGTCAGGGTGTAAATTGTTAGACTTTCAGGAGAACAATTTGGCAGTAATTAATCAGACTTAAAAAATGCCCAGACCTTTGGCCTAGTTACTCCTGTTCTGGAAATTTAGCCTCAGGAAATAATTAAGAAGGTGCAGAAAGATATATATAAAAGGATGTATACCAGTGTGCTAATAACAAAATGTTAGAAATAATCAAATGTTCAATCATAGAAACTGGTTAAATAAATCAGAATATACCTATATAATGGAGTATTATATAGCTATTAAAAATAATATGAAAATAAAAAATACAGCTATTAGTACATAAAAGTGTGTAAAACGTAATTATTATTAAGTGTACAACCAAGTAAAAATGTGTACATATGACATATATGTATATTTATGTCACATGGAACTTTACTCCACATATACACACAGAGAGTCCAGAGTTTAACTCAGAGTAATGCTATTTTACTTTTATTTTATTTTTCATCTATTTATGTGACAGTATTTTCTACTTTTTCTATAATGTGCATGTATTTTTATTAGAATAGGAAAAATAACTTTAAAAAGTAGAATAAAATATATGAAAATTTGTTATAACACTTGTTTTACAAATATTAAAGGTATTACAAATATACAAATATACAAATACATGGTATTACCATGTTCTGGTAGCTTCTATAAGATGCTATTTTTACAGTATGTCTAGGGATCAGAGTACTACATACATGTATGAATACATACAGAGTACTACTACATACAGAGTACTACATACATACATAAAATGGCCCAGATTTTGTCATCTCCATGACATATCTGTCACTGTGAATTTATCATTGAAAAAGCTTCTCCTGTTTCTAAGGTGAGAGCCTGCTAAACATTTAAAATGCTGAACTATTAAAAAAAAAGGATCATCTCCATGCTGAAAGTGATGGCAGTATTGTAAATAGGAAGAAAAATGGATCCATTCATCTTCATAAAACGAAGTTTGACTGTCTTTACCCACAAACTATATGTTCTAAAATAGTTACCCCATTTGCAAATAGGAGACTCTAGTTCCATTGCAGGTTCCGGCGAAACCTTTTTGCAAAAACTCAGACATGTTTAACTTGTCTGTGCTTGAATTAATTTGTCTATTAAATGAATATCATGTTAGCAAAGCCTTTAAATGAAGTTTAGTTGTTGAATGTAAAAATGTTATAAACCTCCTGAAAATGGAGATGGTGGAGAATTTGGGATAGAAAAAAAAGAAAGCTTTTATAGTTCTTTAAGAAAATGTCATAGTCATTTCTTGATGAGAGGCTACAGAGTTTCTTTAATGGGGCAATCCTAGTGCTCTAACTGCGCTGCTGCTAAGATGTGAACTACTGGCATTAATATCCAATTTAAAAACACTACTTTTTAAAAAAAATTGGATCAAATCTTTTAAAGACATTTTTAGCTAACTTTAATTTAAATGCTATTTTTACTAAAAAATGCATGAACTTTTAATATGATACTTCTAAATTATATAGTACTTATTTTTCAAAATAAAGTCAAATACTGAATTATATTTTAATTATCAATTCATGAATATATGTAAACATAACTGATAAAGTGAAATCTATGTCTTTATCATTATAATTATATCACATTTGACTGCTTTTCAAAGTAAATATTCATGTGAAACTGGTTATAAGACATTCCATAATAAACATATCATGCCTGAGTTACTGAGAGAACAGTAAATTATTCACTTTCAGAAGGTATATTAATTATTTTAGAACATTAGGTCAACATATCTCATTTTTCCCAATTCCCAGAACATACCATGAATTTACAAGGGATGATAATTGGCATTCACATTTCTTTTCCTTTTTTCCATCATCTTTAGTCTACTATCAGTGTTTTTATATTCTTAATTAAGTAAGAATTTGTGCCTGACATGTCCAATCCATTCTGAAAGTTGCTGTGGGAAATACAACATAATTAAGCTATCAAAAAATTACTATCAAGTAGGAGGTTAAGGCATAGGCACAAAAATCTCTCAATACAAGTAAACATGAAGGGATGCTGTACACACTGTAGTGTTAAAGACAATAAAGATAACCCACTCTCAAAAGGAAGATGAGAGTTCTCATGCCCATGCTGAATTAGACCTACATACGAAAAATACATTTCCAAGAACATAATAGGTACTAAATAAATGCCAAGGAATTTTTTATACCCTTTCCTTTCCCTCAGAAGGAAGTGTTGAAAATAAAAGTGAGAATTAAGCCTTAGATGGATAAGATCTGAAAAGGTGGTGGGTGGGGGAAAAGATTTGAAAAGGCAAAAAAGAGTGGAATAGGCATTAATACAGGACATTATTATGACAAAAGGTGCAGAGGTAGGGTGACATTCTGAATTAGTAAACTAATTTCTTCAGTTGTAATAGAGTTGTTGATAATGGAGGATTGGGCTATATGAGGGGGAGTCTAGTGACTTTTAGTGTTTGAACTTAGAAGCAGGCCTCTATATACCCATACTATTAATTGAGTATCAAGTTCATGTCAAACCTAGAATGAGGGCTGGGCCTCATCAGTACCTCTAGTCCTCTTCTTCTCCTTCCTTGCCAACAGTCCCTTCTGTCTTTACTCCCAAAATTATCTTGCTTAGATTCTGTGGTCAAATGTTCTGATGCCTCTCTTTAAATTTTCCTGCCCTGTTGTCTTTCCATAGCATCCACCAGACCCTAGGTGAACTCAGCTGTTTTCCCCATGTGACTTAGCAGGCATGCTTCAGTACTGTGAGGTGCAGGTAAGACGGAATTGGGTGATTTGCTATCATAAACATCTGATCACCATTCTCAGCTGAGCTGTCCAACTGGATTATTAAAGAACCTGTAAGGATTTCTTAGCCATTCTACAATTTTCCACATTGCTTTAAGCTCTCTTGCTCCTCTTCTAGAATCTCTGAAAGCTACAATTCATCTTACATTTCCTTCTGATAACCTTTCCTCCTACTCTACTGGGAAAATGGAAGTCATCACAAGTCTCAAATTCTATCAGACTTATTAGATCTACTTTCAGTTTCAACCCTGTTTTTTCTCTTATACTGAATCTATCACTTTATATAAAGTCAATCACTCAACTATATTTGTGTTCTATGAATTTCATCCCAGTATTCTCAGGGACACTGATCTATAATTAATCCCTCCTTCCCCTATATCCGACCTTCTAAGAGAGGTTGTATATACCTCCTTCTCTTACTTCTTCTCATTAGTAATTAAACTCAGATCTTATGGCAGGGAAATGGGGACCACTCTCTTTCAACATTCCTTTTATCCAATGTTTTACTAAAGTTCTACTCTTCATTATGAAACCTCTTGAAACCCTTGATATACTCACTTTTGTTTCTTGACTTCCCACTCATCCTCTTTACTATACTGTAACCTAGTTTCTTCTAACATGATTCTACCAGAATTTCTTTCACCAAGATCACCAAAATCTATGTAGAAATAAATTTTCAGTCATTTTTTGGTTGCCTATTCTTCAGGATTTAACACTGTTGATCACTCTTTTAAATATTCTTTTTTTGTGGATTCTATGGCTCCTCACTCTGTTGGTTTACTGCTTACCTTTCTGATTCTCCCTTTGCAGTCCCCTTTACAATTTTCTTTTCCAACCCTACTTCATAGAGAGTAAATATTAGCCTTTTTCCATTTGCACACTTTCTCTGGGCTATCTTATTTATTTTCAAGAATCCCGACTTCCAGCCAAGATGGAGGCATATGTAGACACACTGTGCCTCCTTGCACAATCAAAACTAAAGACAACAAAAATTTAGAAACAAAAAAAAACAACCAGAACAGAGAGAAATGAACTGTACAGAAGTCTAACAACCATTCATCCAGACCGGTAAGAGGGGCAGAGTCGGAGGCCTACCGAGAGGGGTAGAGGGGTCCAGGGGTCCAGGGGTCCAGGGGTCCAGGGGTCCAGGGGTCCCAGCAGGAAAAAGTGGTGGCTGGCAGACTCGGGCACGCAGGGTGCAGGTGGCAGTTGGCAGACCCCAGATGCTCAGGGGCAGCTGATGGACCCGGTGGGAGACCCTGGGTGTAGAAGGCAACAAGCAGACCCAGTGAGGCGTACAAGGCAGCTGGCTGTCCACAGTCACACATTCGCGCAGATAAACCAGGCAAAAACAGGCAGTGACACAGACTTGCAACCCAGGGACCCAGTGCCAGGAAACAAAGCCTAAAGTCACCAATTGAAAACACCTGTGAGGGTTGAGGCCGGGAGAATCTCCCAGCCTCACAGGAGAGTTCCTTGGGGAGACCCACAGAGTCCTACAATGAACACAAGCCCACCCGCCTGGGAACCAGCACCAGAAGGGCCCAATCTGCTTGTGGGAAGAGGCAGAGGAGACCAAAATCCCAGAGAGAGCGGAGCCAGTGCCATTGTTCCCTCTCTGACCCTGCCCCCACATACAACATCACAACCCAGTGACTGAGGTGCCCCGCCCTGGTGAACACCTAAGGCTCTGCCCCTCAAACATTAATAGGAGTGACCAGAACCCCCCCTCCCCCCCAAAAAAAGGCTCAAAAAGAACAAATCAAAGCTCCACAGCCAATACTTTTAAGGGACCAAGAGATAGCCAACCTATCAGATGCACAGTTCAAAGCACTGGTGACCAGGATGCTCACAGAATTGGCTGATTTTGTTTGCAAATTAAATGAACAAATGAAGGTTACAATAAGTGAAATTGAAGAAAAATGCACATGGAACCAATAGTGATGGATAGAAAACCGGGTTTCAAATCAATGGAGTGGACCAGAAGGAAGAAGAAAACAACCAAACAGAAAAGAATGAAGAAACAAGAATTCAAAAAAATGAGGAGAGGCTTAGGAACCTCCAGGACATCTTTAAACGTTCCAACATCTGAATTATAGGGGTACCAGAAGGAGAACAGGAAAAGCAACAAGTAGAAAACTTGTTTGGACAAATAATAAAGGAGAACTTCCCCAATCTGGCAAAGGAAATAGACTTCTAGGAAGTCCAGGAAGCTCAGAGAGTCCCAAAGAGGTTGGACCCAAGGAGGAACACACCAAGGCACATCATAATTACATTAGCTAAGATTAAAATGAAGGAGAGAATTCTAGAAGCAGCAAGAGATAAGGAGACAGTCACCTACAAAAGAGTTCCCATCAGATTATCAGCTGATTTCTTAAAAGAAATCTTACAGGCAAGAAGGGGCTGGAAAGAAGTATTCCAAGTCAGGAAAGGCAAGGACCTACATCTAAGATTGCTCTATCCAGCTAACCTTTCATTTATAATGGAAGGGCAGATAAAGTGCTTCTTAGATAAGGTCAAGTTAAAGTTCATCATCACCAAGCCCTTATTATATGAAATGTTAAAGGGACTTACGTAAGAAAAAGAAGATAAAAAATATGAACAGTGAAAAAAGACATTAAACTCACAGTTATTAACAACCACACCTAAAACAAAAAGAAAAACAAACAAAGTAAACAACTAGAACAGGAAGAGAACCACAGAAATGGAGATCACATGGAGGGTTAGCAACAGAGGAGTGGGAGGAGGAGAGGGGGGAAAAGGTACAGAGAATAAGTAGCATAGACGGTAGGTAGAAAATAGACAGGGGAGGGCAAGAATAGTATGGGAAATGTAGAAGCTAAAGAACTTATGACACATGGACATGAACTAAAGGGGGGGAATGTGGGTGGGAGGGGGTGGGCAGGGTGGAGGGGAGTGCAGGGGAGAAAATGGGGCAATTATAATAGCATAATCAATAAAATATATTTTAAAAAGTAAAAAAGAATAAAAAGAATCCCAAATCCTCTAAAGCTTTCATCTCGGTCTCTTCTATAAACTTCAGACCCATATCTCCAACTGCTTTCTGGATATCACCAAATGGATATTCGTGAACACCCCAAACTCAATATAGTTCCCAATGGAACTTATTCCCCTCATCTCCCAAGTGACTTCCTTCTGGACATTTTTTGTCTCAGTGAAAGGCACCATCCTCCAGCCAACTGCTCAAGTGTGAACTGGAGTGGTTTTTGTCTCTCTCCCTCTCTCTCTCACACACACACATGCTCACACACACACACTCAATCTACCACAAAGTCCTACTGAGTCTGACATTGATTACTACAACATTCCCATCACCCAGTTTATTTTATCTTTTCAACCATCTCAATGATTGAAACTGTTCCAAGTTGTGTGACTTTGTAAGTCAGTAGTGTAGCTAAAACACTCATATGTGGGAAGGTTGAAAGTTCTGGCTTCCTTTATATAGAATATTTTTTAAAAATCTGGGAAAGGTTTTTCTATTTCTTTTTCTCACGTTCTTAATGATAGCATGGGTAAGATGATGTTCCCAATTTTTCACAACAACTTTCTGCAACTACACATTGTCAATGTTTGTTCATGCTGACAAACCTCGGAGGAATGTGTTTTCTTTCTGAAAACTAACATTTCTACAGCCTGGGCAAATACAGGTTGTTGCTGTTCATCTGAAAATATCAACTATATATCTTAGCAGGCTGGACTGAAACAACTAACTCAATGTAACAAATAGCTGCTGAAATTAAGAGGAATTGTGAGAATGTCACAAGGAAATCTAATTACTTCCCTGTTATCCCCGAATCAACAACAGAGCTCCTATGCAGGACAAGGATCACAAGTGGTGTGAAGCTGGTCCCGTGGCCAGTCAGACCTTTTCCTCATTCTCTGTTGAAAGAGGTCCATACATGGATTTCCACTTTAAAGCTCCCTGTCTGTGTTTTCTTTTTTTGAAAGATAATATGCCTTTGTAGATACCATAAATTCTTTTCTACATTTAAGGGGAACAATAAAGAAAAATAAACTTAGTACAAATCTAAGGGATGGATGTACAACAATACTTCTAGTAGAAAACAAGCGAAAAACACCCATTAGATAGAAAGTCCTGTTTCAGACATACATTAATTTCATATATTTTAATAGTTTTAAGTATGATTTACATTAGGAAATGGCTGGTTTAGCAAATACTCAAGGGAAATCCTCAAGTTTTCTTTCCTTCACCTTCCCCCACGGCAAGCCTTCACATCCCATTTCCAAGCTAAAATCTAAATCTACCCAAATTCTCCTATTACTCTAGCTGCATCCTCATGCAAGCCACCACCATCCTGCAGGGTCATTTGCAACAGCTTCTAGCTGCCTGTTTCCTCTTTGACTTCTACTAGAATCTCTGGTTCCATGCAGTGTCAAATTGACCATTTTAAAATACACTATAATTCAGATCATGTCGTCCCTGTGCATGAAACCTTTCAGAGAATTCCCTTTGCCCATAGAGAAAGAAAGAGAAAGAAAAACTTGCCCCATCCTAAGAGCCTGTGATCCAGCTCCTGCCTAATCCCAGCTGCCTCCCTGATCTCACCTTGCACTCCTCTCCCCATCTCTCTTCCATCCAACCACATTCCTTGTTCCTCAGACCCACCACTTCTGTTCCCTCTGCCTGGAGCCATCTCTTTCCAGATTCTTCATGGCATTCAGCTCTCAGCCCCACTGCCAAAGGTCTCCTCTGATCGCTCAGTCTGAATTAGCTGTCTTTACTTTCTATCTCATCATCCTGTTTCATTTTCAATATATTCAAAGGTCTGAAATTATCTTGTTCATTTTTTTGTTTTCCTGTTAGAATATAATTTCATAACTACAGAAATGTTTCCTATTTTTCTCACAGCTGATTCTTGGTGTCTAGAATGGGGATCAGCACTTTTTCTGTAAAGGGCCAGAGAGTAAGGATTTTAAACTTTGCAGGTTATATAGTCTTTGTCACAACCACTCAGCCCTAGTATGGCCACATGAAAGCAGCTGTAGATGATAAGTAATTGTGTTGTATTTGTGTTGACTTATAAGCATTGAAATTTGAATTTCACATAATTTTAATGCTTCACAAAATATCATTCTTCTTTTGATGTTTTTCAACCATTTAAAGAAGCAAAAACCATTTGTAGCTCATGAGTTGTGCAAAAACAGGCAACTGGCCAGATTGGGCCTGTGGCCATAGCTCACCAATCTCTGATCTGGAATGGCTATTGCTGTGTATAGGAGGCTTGCAAAATTAAATATATATATATATATTCTTTAAATGAATGAATAAATGGGTAACAAGAAATAGATTTTCCTTGTAGACATTGTACTGCCTCAGTCCTCAAGGTTGATCTGCTCTACCTACTTGTTTGTGCGAACGCCTGATTGTAAGCCTAAGTCACCAAATCAGTGTAAAATATGGAGTTCTTATAAAGTAAGAATAAACAGGAGCTTTGATTACTTCAGTTATAAAAGGCCAACAAAATTGGGTTGGGTTCTGCACTCAAAGATCAAAACTTATGTTTGATTCAAAAGCTTAAACACTATGGTTAAAAAAATTAATAATATATTGCTCTTAAAATATATAACTATAAGCCATTTGTAAAAACTCATGAAAGTCATGAAATAAGAAAACACTCAAAAATAATTTTAGAAAGATTATGTTTATCTTTCCTCCAACTCCCTGTTTCATATAACTGGGAAAGAGTCCGTAAAGAAAGTAAAAATTTCAGTTTTAAATAAGAGCTTTGAAATGAGTCATTTTTACTCTTATTAGGACCATTTTCCTGTCTATGGCCATGCGTTGTGAAACTCTCCCCCTTTACACCCACACAACTCCAAATGTTCCAATAAGTGAAAGGGATTAGGCTTATGCCCCCAAACTAAGATTAAAACACATATTAAGTTGAAACAATAAAGGGAAATGACAATAAAGGTAAAACCTTTCCATTTTAAAAAGCAAGTTAAAATGACAAGTAAAGAATTGCTATTTAAATGCTAAATTGTTCTTTTAAAAAATGACTTCCCCTAATAAATCAAAAGAAATCACTCATCAGAGGGAACACACATAATATCTTAAAGAAAGTTTTGGTAAAACCTTTAACAGCTCCTGGCAGGAGAAACTTGGCAAAAATGTTTAAAAAGCTGTGACAGCCTGAGTTTGCACATGTGCTCCCCCAAGAGCTCTAGAGAGAGCACTGAGGCCCCACTGGGAGTGAATGAGGAACTGGGGAAGACACCTTACTTTAGAGTAGCCCAGAATTGTCTGCTCCTAAATTGTCACTTGTAAAATTAAATCACAAAGCAGAGAAATGTGGAGTCATTTCTCGGGCTGTCTCTAAGATGTATTCCATACTCTACAGTTTCGCTCTGATTAGAAAAGAAAGTGCACAGTTGGGAGGGGGCACATATTCTTCTGGGAACTCCAATGGATGATACTAATATTTATAGTCTTTGAAACAGAAGAAGGAAGGAAGGAAGGGAGGAGGGGAGGAAGGGAGGAAGGAAGGATGGAAGGGAGGGAGGGAGGAAAGGAAGGAAAGGAAGGAAAGGAAGGGAGGGATGGGTGACATGTCTTTTTCTTTGCAATCACCTTCAGTCTGGAGTGATATGAAGTTTTCTCAGTGGACAGACAGTCTTTGTCTGGGTGCCCATTTCATTACTTTCCTAAGCTCATGCTTGAACTGCTGAGAGCGTGCTCAAGGCTTGCTCACCTCTCATTAAGCTGGAACTTAGGTATCTGTATGAAAGCCAAGTTCTGAATAAACCTGAGGCTATTTACACTTTCAGGTGGGAATCATGTGCTACTCAAGACTGAACTTGGCGAGTTTTGCCTGGATTGTACATTTAATGGTACTTGAATTATGAGGCATTTCAGGAGTCAGGGGAACTCCATTGCTAGAAACTGAATTCAGCAAGCACAGAACTAAGCTTTTACACCCCTCACCTAGAACCCATAGTGGATACTCAGTAAATGTTTGTGTGCCATGTGGAAATACAACAAACTATAAGGTAGGACATACTTCCAGGCTTCTGTCGATGTAAGGAATGTCCAACCCTATAGAAAACTTTTATGAGTTTATTTGAACAAACATGACAATATATACTGGGGAGCAAGATCTCAAGTGCTCCCAAGAATAACAGTTTTTCCATTTCTTTTGTGCATTTGAAATTCATGAGGGAATGTAAGGAAGATTACATGAAAGTGGAAGGAAACAAGGCGGGGATCAGGTCACCAGGTAGTGAAGAGGGTGTGCTCTCTCGAGGGTGGTCCCTCTTTAGAAAACTCTAAAAGGGGGCATTTCAAAGGTGTGCTAGCCCAGATATGCAGAACTTGCTTAAGGCAAATCGTATAAACCGTTTACTAAAGAAGCTATATGTTGGGGCGTGACTTCCCACCATGACCTGCCCCATTGGAATCTGTGATCAGATCATCATCCTGTGAGATTACTTTCCATAGAGCCCCTTTCGCATCACACTTCTGAAGTTAAAAGCTGACGTCTCCTCTGCATCCTCTCCTCTCCCAAATTCATCCATTAGGTGGTATTTTACTCATATTAGGAGAAACTGCATGAACTCTGTGTACATGTGTATGTGCATGTATTTAGGTGTGTATTTCCTTCACTGCACAACTGCTATTGCTAGACACAAACTGAAGGAGACAGAGCCAGCTGAGAATATCTTGAGATTAGGCTAAAAGGCCTATAATTGGTAGGCACAGAAGTCAGGTTTGATCTTGCTTCCCCTAAAAAAATTAAGTAACTATCTCTTATGGTAGAGATGTGTGCCTCCCAGTTCAAAATGAAATGAGAAAGCAGGAAAATCTGACTATATTTATACCATCTGAACTTAAAAAAAAAAAGGAAGACAACAAAATAGAAGCTATATAAACAATTGGTAGCCTTTAGCCCACCTAGTGGAAGCATAGAGGGTAATGAAGAGGTAAAGGTCTGAAAGAAGAAACAAAGTTCAAGTGGAAGTTTAGAACGTGGTTGAGTCCTGTGGGAAAGGTTATCAGAGATTTGCAGGAGGTACAATTTTTTGATAAGAAAGTGCTTAAGGGCAATCTTAGTCAATTACAGTTCTGTTTTCCTAAGACTGCAAGTGACATTTGGATTGTATAATTAAAATTATCTGTAACACTTTGCAAGTTGAGAAAACACTAACAAATCTAAGCCATTGGGTGCTAAGGGAGGGAACATGTTAAAAAAAGAACAGAGAAAGTACAGTTCATCCAACCCCTTTAATTTACAAATGAGGAAACTGAGTCTAAGGCAGTTTAAATAATGCAGAAGTTCACTTGGCAAACTGGAGATCAGACTGGTAGCTAACGAGAAGCATTCCCAACCCAGGTGACGTGGGGCCTAGCAGAGGTATTTTGGGCAGGCAGACATTCCAGGGTCCTTCAAAACAAGCTGTATTTATACACATGGTGGAGTTGTTTTCAGAGGTACACACAGTATGCAAATATATTTTAAAATCTGAAATCCTCAAATGCCATTTTGAGCATAACATGAGGAGGGATAGTATTCCCATTCATGGCATTCCTTAGGTTTGCTAAAGTTATGTGTGCTATGTAGACGAACTGCCTTGGTAAAAATAAGGCAATTATCTGAAAAAATATACATTGTTTGTACATTTCAATAGAAAAATGACACAAACTACCTAAATATAGTAAATGTTAGTCAAAAATAAATAAACAAAATAGCATAATTAGCCATTTATATTTTTAAAAGGGAGTGTAGCATCACTGAAAAATTATAATAATATTTTTCTTTATGCCAAAGAATTAAATGGTAAGGATATTGAGTTTTCCACTTTATACTCATGAAATTTTCATCTACCCAAAGAAGCTAAGAAGGTAAAATGTATTTCCACATTCATGATTGCTACTTCTTTTATAATATGGTCACACTAATACACTATTTCCTATCTAATTTCCTCATTCCCTTAGACTCTTGAAAATATAATGATTTTGGTGTATGAAACTATCTTTTAAGAAAGTAAAACTAACATAGGCATTTTCCTTCAAGGCACTAATCAAAATCTTGAGTGAATTCCCTGTGTGATATTATTTGTCTCAATTTTACCTCCTGATAGAATCAGTGTACATATTTTGTTCCTGTTCCTAAAGTTCTTTTTTCATACTTGTTCTTTTTCTTGAAAATACTCATAAAACTCTAAAGGATGCTATCAATGGCTATTAAGTATTTATTATGTGCCAGGAACTAGACTGAGACACTTACATGTTTATAATTTCATTTTACAGTAACCTCATCTACAGGTCCTTATTGTGCAGTGAGGAAAATGAGGCCAGAGAGGTGGAGAAACTCGTCCAGGGTCACACAGTTAGAAACAGAATGGGGCAGGCCCCCAGTATTCAGTGAATCCACGGCACCATACAGCCTCGTAGGCTCTCTCTCAATCTTTTCATCTCAAGGTAGGTTAAGTTCTGTTTTCTTCATTGAGTCAAGGTCACCAATCTTGGTTACATGTAATTGTTTTCTTCCTTAGTTGCCTTGGTTGAATGTATCACAAAGTTCAACCACCTCCCAAATATTCCTCAAAGTCATTTTTGTCATCACACCTGGCCTATCCCTGTCAAAGAGTGGGCCTAGCCACAGAAGTGAGATCCCACTGGAGTGTGCTACATGCTTCTACTTCTCTTTCTACTGACACCCTTGCTCTTGAACCCTAAGACCA